GCAGGAACCTTTAGAAATTTTGTTCTGCAAATTGGGGTGACAGAAACGACCAAAGTCTTTGGAGTTCTCCATACCTTCCTTTACTTCAAAACCAGAAACGGTGCCCTTGGTGACATTTGAAGCAGCACATAATCAAATTCACATCATGAGTTTTTCTCATCATAGACAGTTCAAAAAATTTAATGGATAAAAGGAAGAAATGGAAAAAAAAATAAAAATAAAACAATCCGAGGATATATGCAACAAATAGCATACAAACGAAAAATATAAGCTCCAAAAGGAACCTCTACGGCATACATTCATTTGTTGTGCTGCTATTTAACCACGTATTTTTTTAATACCAAAATAACACATGAAAACAGAATGAGAGATTATTTGGTAATGAACAAGTACCAATCTACAATATATGCAGGTACAGTCGATATTGGTGCTGCTATTTCCACTCACATGTCTTATTTCTCCGCTCACATTTTAATGAAAATATTGAATCAAATAGTACTTCATCATGCTTTCACAAGTTTCTATATATACAATATTACCCATCCTCAAAATGTGAATCAAATATAAGAATCCAAAGAGAAATATATGAATCAAATATGTTTCCCACAGTAATATTCACTCTAAAACAAAAGAAAAACGTTGAAAAAGAATGAAACATATGTAATCAAATTTCCAAAATAAAAATATATATGTATATACACACACACATATATCATACCTGGTACCAATGACAAAGAAGAAGAAAAAAACATGAGCTATTGTAAGATGGAAATTTTGGTAAGAGAATAGGGGGTGAGAATATAAGGGAGTGAGGAAATAGGAAAGGTTGGTGAAAATATCAGGGCCCATCGATATTTGATCTCTATTATGATCTGTTGAAATTTGTTAATATTGACAAAATATCGACAATGTAATGCTACCATAACAGGTAATGTAGATCACTTCCCCAGAGCCAGAGAAGTGAAATAATCGTTCTAGAAAATTTAAAATGAAACCCAAGCTATAATATCTTGAAATTAAGAACACACACATATATATATATTAGGTATATAATATACCTGGGTTCTTGGAGTGGAAAGCTCAGTGGTGGGCAGGTCAGAGTAGAAACTATCTGCCTTGCGAGTGCAAAAAGTTGCAGAGCTGCTAAGTGGGCTGGAGCCACTGCTACAACCTCGTGGTGGAGATCGTGGCAAAGCATCCATGAGAGGGTTCATGCTCCAAGTTGCCTTTGAGTTTTTGAAGGTTCTGGTTGATAAGGAACGAGTGTCATGGTTTTTATTCAACTCCGACGACTTCGTAGCAGCCCCCTTGGGATTCATCATGCTGGGTTTCGTCCTCATGCTGTCGGTTTTGGAGAAACTTGGGTTCTTTCTTGTTTGAGATATCATTTTCTTGGAGTCTTTTGGTTCTTGAAATGTGGCCTAGTTTTTACTGCTATTGGCTGTCACAGTAAGAGAGAGGAGGAGGAGGAGGTTGATGGGGAAGAGAGAATTATTCCTGTCTGTGGTTCCTATTTGGGTACCATTAGGAATTGATAAGCTGTCTTCTACATAAAGCGCTTTTATATGGTTTTAGTCGCCTGCCCTAATAGAAACTTCTTTTATGGCAAGCGACCTATATGGAACGTTGGTATCTGTTAGAGAATTATGTAGATTTGTCCTTAATGTCTTAAGATTTGGTTTTGTTAATTTGTTGGATTTTTTTATCCATCTTTTTCTCTTTGATGCAAGCGATATTGAATAAGAGAGATAGCTGAACAGTGAACACACAAGACCTTAGTTATGGGATTGAATAAGAGAGAGTTGAACACACAAGACCTTAGTTACTGGGACAAATGATCTTCACCTCTTAAGCTACAATATCCTTGTGAATATTTATACATTTTAATCATCTCTCCTTTGGTCTCAGGTGAGTTAATTCTCCTTTCAATGATATTTAATCTCACCAAACAAACTATTTAAATGATTACTATAAATGATAGAAGAAAAATAAACCCCAGGTTTTTGGATATGTATCAACACATTCAATGGAAAATAATGATGTATTATATAAAATTAACCGTGAATTGCATGTTAACTATAAAGGATAGTAAAGTCATACTTGCAATATAAATGCATATTATGAATGCCATAAAAGTTTATTATTTTATTTATTCATAATAATTATGAAAAGTTTATAGAAAGTGTTCAATAATTAAGAAAGAAATTATTTTTGATATACATATAAATTTGAGTTATTTAAGTGACAAAAAAATTTAGGACAAATTCTTCCTAGATGGTAAGCAAATTGAATGGGTAATAATAAATTCCATTAAGGAAATGATAACTGTATTGAAAATTAAGACAATAAGACTATATTGAAGAGGGGATGTTGTCTGAATAGTTTGAAAAGTAAATTATATTCGGCACTATAGTTGCTTTGACTTGTATTTGTTTTTATCAATAAATTACTATGGTTTATTCTAAAAATTAGAATAAAATTTGCAGTGAGAGGTCTTTATCTTTTACATTATCTCATTTGTTTTGATTTTATTAAGGTTAAGCATTTTGGGTTTAGGAGTTCGTTAATGTTTAGAGAATATATTGAAAACTATAATTAAATAAAAATTACAAGAAATTTGTAACTCAAGTAGTTAAGAACATAAAAAATTAACAAAAATAAAAAACGACCTTTTTGGCCGGATCGAAGACCTTGTTTTAGAATACACCCCACTAACTCAGGGTTTTTTTTTTCTTTCTTGAAACAACCTGCTAGGCGAGTTCATCAAAAACTGCCACCCCTTATGCTTCCTCCTATTTCATAATATTAATCATCGTCTTTGAATCTTGTCACAGCTGAACGAGTCTGGAAAAGTTTTGTTTCAAATTCTGGGTTTGGTTTGATTTGTTTTTCTCCGATTGCTACTCTTATTAAGGTTTGCGAAACAACCTGCTAGGCGAGTTCATCAAAAACTGCCACCCCTTATGCTTCCTCCTATTTCATAATATTAATCATCGTCTTTGAATCTTGTCACAGCTGAACGAGTCTGGAAAAGTTTTGTTTCAAATTCTGGGTTTGGTTTGATTTGTTTTTCTCCGATTGCTACTCTTATTAAGGTTTGCGCGTCATGTAAATGGTTGTTGCTTTTTTTTCTTTCTTTGTGTTGCTTCTTTTCATCTTTACTTTTTATTTTATGCTTCGTTGTCTTTGATAGCTTGATTTGCTTTGCTTACACTGTGAATATGCTTCGATCAATTTTTTGGGGTGTCCCAACAGAGAGAATTGGGGAATTTTGAAAAGGATAGATGCAGACAAAGGATTGGTATTTGTACGAGAGCTGGGACCAAACCCTGTTTCTCACAAACTATTTGCCCCATTTGGAAATAGTTTTCCAAATAGTTTTCCATTAACCAGAAAAAAACCCGAGAAAAAGCAGAGAATCCCGATCCCCAAGTATGCAAAGGCTTCTGGGGTCGTTCTGGGGTGGAGGGTACTTGGTTACGCATTCTCAAAGTTCATCTTACTTTCCCCCATACAAAAGCCTTTGCAAACCAGTGCAGTGGATTTACCATCAAGGGATTGCTCAGCCTCAAAATTTTACACAAGAATCCCAAGTCTTGCACCGTGTCCATTTTATATTCAAGCGATCGATATCAAATTGTGCTCATTATCTAAAATCCATCCAGTGGCCAGCATTCATTCAAAAAATTGATCAAACTGTAGAAGAGGAGGAGGGCCTAGAATTCCATTTTAAGTAAAGGAGGCTCTAGTTCTAATACACTGAACCAAAAATGTCTAAAACTCTGCTTCAACGATTCGCATATTACAAAGAAAGCTTATAAAACCGAAGTTCATTCATAAAACACCATATTGAGTCTTGTTTCCTATTGTTAGCACAGCACCCTTCCTTCTAAGCCTCTCTGCGTACAAAGTAGAGCTTACCCATGACATGAAGAACGGCAACAAAGGCAATGAAACCAATGCTCATGATGAGAACAACATTCGGGGAGATCTTGAGTCCCGGGGCATCATCAGTGTAAAACTGGAGCATTGTCCCTGCTGCACCGCCTGAAGCACCTCCACTTGTCGTCCTCCTCCTTCGCATGCTTGCAGTAGCTGCAGCACTTCCCCTTGGGGCAGGTGCTCCACCGCCTAGAACCATTTTCTGTTACCACCAACTCAGACCTTTAGAACCTCAATCCAACCTTTATGGTACAAAAATAAAGGACCAAATCCACACACATAGGGAGAAAAAAAAAACAAGGACAAAAAAGCTTCTAGGAGAGGAGTTTGGCATTATTTAAGAACAGACCTAGATGGAGATTTGACAATTCTGTAAACATATAGAATAGAACTCATAAAGAAAGAGTTTTATAAACTGATCCAACATATGCAAAATCAAAGCTTTTTGTTCTCCAATTCAAGTTGATGACACATGAATTTGATTCCAAACAGAATTGACCAGAATGATTAGCATAACCAACTTAAAGGCCAAACAAAAACAAACAAGAACGTATAGTATTGCATTAACAGTAATTGGGGTTCAGAGACTAGCAGCTGCAGAACCGTTTAATAGCTGATTAACTTCTGTAGTCAAAATCCATCAACTCGATTTCTACATATTTACAGTTTAAACTAAAAGCACCCATCTGTGTATCAAAATGATAACATGCATGCAGAGATCTACAGAATAGGGCAATTTGAAAGAAAAATAGGAATATTAGCAGAAACAAAATATTAATCCAAATGAAAATTCAAACAACAAAAAAATACAGAAAACAAAGAGAAAATTCGGATGATTATACAGAAATTAAGAGAACCTAATACTCAATTGAGCAACGAAAAGTTTCGATTTTTCACAACAAATCAGATCCAGTAACACAATCACGAAAAAAAGCAGTAAAAGATCTGCAATCAGAATTAACAGGAAAAAAAAACACCAAACTGAAGATTGCATGCAGTAGATCTGCAAGGTTACACGAACAAATCGAAGGAGAGAAGAGGAAGGAGAAGAACTGACCTGAGTCGACTCGGTGAAGAGAACGAGTTGAGATGCTGGCGTGTATCGAAGGTTGAAGATCCGAGAAGGGTTTTTGACTCCGATGGGCTGAAAATCCGTTTTATTATGTAACGCAAACGCGTTGGCGTTTCTTTTTGTCTACGTGGCTTGACCGCTTGACGCTTCCACGCCTACTCCACCAATTGTTTCCTGCCACGTCAAATCTGACGTATGCAGTCCTGCCAAATATCACCGCTTTTATTTTATTTCAAATATTTATATATTTTAATTATATTTACGTATAAATTTTGAAGAGGAAATGTCCAAGACAGCTTTCAAATACGATGACCGATTGGAAATTTGTGGACGTTTTTTTTTTTTTTTTTTGGTAAAAATTGTGGACGTTTTCATGAGAGGACAAGTGTGGATATTTCATTTTCAGCATAAGGTCTTCCGATTTAAATGGTAATTTCTGTCAAATTTGGATGACTAAATAATTTTTGATTGCTTAATTTATTTGCATAGATATCAGACAAATTAGAATAATCTACGGGAAAAATTAATTTAAAATAAAATAAAATGAGAACATGAGTTCTAATTTGAATACTAAAATGATAAACAAACTTGCGATGCCGTCGAAGAACCTATACTCGAACTCCAATCAGTTGAGACATTAACGTAATAGCGACGAAACAAAATCAACAACACCATAGCAGTTGCATGAAACCACAATGAGCTTGCTGATAATATGTCATTACATTCTGTGATAAAAGAACTTCATTCCTAGAACATGTTACATATCAATGATGTCGAAAGAGGAGATAAACTGTACTCGTGTTTTTGCTTGTTCTAACTACTAGCAAGTTAGTACAGCTACTTAATATGACAAAATTAGCATGACTAACCTTGCTGAACATTAAAGAAACAGGACTAGGCTTAAATCACATTGATAACTTGATGCTGAGCTGTGGACATCCAGGTTATCAACACACCAGTTGGGAGAGAGAGAGGGCTAGAACGTCTTTAAATGATGACAAACTCCTTTCGGCAGTCTTGCTGTATGCGAGGAAGCAAACCATCCTCTGTTATCATAATGATGGACATCCAACCTATCTATTTTGTGCGTTGATCCAAACACTGAACAACTGCTAAGTGATTTGATGCTCATTCAACCGAAGTCAAGATTCCCATCAAGAAGTTAAGGCTTTAAACTCTTGAAAAACCTGCCACCTTTCAGTCTCACTCCAGTCCCAGCAAGACTTGATGACAAGAGAGATCTGGTATTTGGTCGCCATGTCAACTCTATCAGAACAGAAAATAAGGTTGCCAAGGCAGGAGTTGTTTCACTGTCTGTTATATTTTTACATGATACTACTCTAAGCCTTTGAAGCTCTTTCCAACAAAGGAGCACCGACTCCAGACCTCCTGTTGTCAGCAGTGAGCATCCTTGCAGAGAAATCAGCTTCACCCTCCTATGTCGAGAAAAAGGGTAAAACCATTGCGAAGGGTAAAATTTGAAATCAATAAATAGGTGTTATTCAACATCAATCTCATGCTAGACAATGCCTCAAATCATTATACTTATCTACTCAAGCAGCCATTGATTGGAAGACCAGACTCAAACATAAGAATGATGGATAATCATACATCTAGCAGCCATGTTTTTCAATGATCCCGATAAATCATGAAAGCTTTGTGCATAATGATTCCTTTTCCTTCTCATAAACCCAAAAAGAAAGAAGGACTTCGGATCTACTGGGGAAAAGCTCTGATGTTTTCTGAAGGAAGTTCTGATGTTTCCGCATAATGCATGGGCCACTGACGAATGCATTTCCAAGTACCAACTTCGCTAAAAACTTATTCCACATTGATTTGTTTTCCAAGTATGCTATGTCTCTTTATGGAAATTCAAAATAATTGCAGTATAACTTGTAGTAGGAAAAGAATTACACCACATAATTATGTAATCATAGCAAATTAGTGTTCTCCAACTCATCAAATAAAAAGTATATTCATTAAACCTACGACATATGACATCTTTGTGAATTCTACTTTTAGGAGTCTTATGCTTGTAGTATTTTCAATTGGACTGCTTAGTGTGAATTCCAATTTTCTTTTGGACTGAGATTTATTTGAGTTGAGACTGATCTCGAGCTATAGTTTTCTACAGCCAATGTAATGTTGATTATTCTAACAAAGGCTTTTCTTTGGAATAATGGTTTAGCTGGTGTCCTCTTGTTTCAGGATTGTGAGTAAAATTCACAGGGTTTACTTTACCAGCTCGTCCAATTGACAATCCTACATGCTTGGGATGGTGAGAAACAAGTTGGGTCTGCAGTATAGAAAGATAAGGGGAAAAGAGGTCGTTTGGGATGGAGAAGCGACTACAAGTTTGTTAGTAATAACACGGACCTTGATAAAGAAAAAAAAATACTGCAACACACTAAGCAACTCCTTCAATAAACGAGAAGGAATATCTTAATTCCGTTAATTATACCCTAATTCTGTTATAGTACAATGAGGCATATTAACAGACATAAAAATTTTCCTTATTCTCGTGAACTTTCTTAGTTCAGAAACATATTTGATACCAGACTCCTCATTTTGCAACCTTCAGAACTGTGTAAGTTTTATTGAAGAACTTTAAAACTTAAAGAGTTAATTGGGTTTTGGCCAATTCACCACACGTTAAAACTTTAGAGTTGACAATTCGTAATAACTCATAAAATCCTTGCATTACCTATGATTAAGATTATAAATGTAATTATCAAGGAATCTATTCAAATCATAAAAAAATAGGTCTAAAAAAGGAATTTAGTGAAGCTATTTGAGACATTCTGATATTTGGAACTCTACAAGGATCAAGTGCCTGCCTGGATCAAATACCATGGGAGATAGAGGCCACAAAAACTTAGTGGAAAGTCTGATTTTCATGATCATCGTTCCCGAAAACAATTCACATTTCAAATCTCTATAACATTATTTAGTTAGCCTTGGATGACTGGATTAGAAGCATTCAGTAAACATAATAAAGGTGGGAGAAGATGGTGGAGTCCCAGATTTAAATGGGCCTGCCTTTTCAAGGCAGTTGTAGCCTTAAAAGCAGAGATTATTCTCACAAGTTCCATTCCAATCTTTCACTGGAAGAGCTAATCATAAATGGACCACAGATCTAAAATCAATTAAGAGGTTTGCATGGTATGAGTGATTCAGACAACAAAAAGAGATAAGCACAAATGAGGGAAGAAAAAAAATATCGTACCTACAAATACTCGCAAATGCAAATACTTCATCCACCAACCCCCAACAATCCTGCAGAACAATATCCCTAACAGCCTCACACACCAAGAACAATGCTCTCACACCATGCTTATCCCTCACTTGACACCGCCGCAAATGCAACTCCTCAATGGTGGGACAAAATCCCAAGTGCTCATCAGGGCCGGGGTTTGAATCAATGTCCTTGCAAGACTCAAGCGTCAAAGTCTTCAAATTCCCACAAAAGGGCAGAGCAGCCAACCACCCACCATCCATCCTATGATCATTGAGAGTCAACTCCTCAAGCATTTGGCAACACTGCCCAATTGCCTTAATCCCATCATAGCTCCCTTCACACCCACAAAGCTCAAGCTTCACTAACCTCCTACACCCCTGAGCTAAAATTGTCAACCCAATATCCGAAATCACTGCCCTGTAAAACCCATCAACGCAAGCAATCAATTTCACAATCTGCAAGTTCCTACACGTACTAATTCCCTTCAACGCCAAGTCTCCACAACAATGCAGCTCCAATTCCTGCAGTGTTTGACAATCCTCAGCAATCCTCAACAACCCATTTTCACTGGCACCTATAACCGCAATTCGGCGCAAATTCGGGTACGAACTGGCAATCAACCCGAGCCCATCATCCACCACACTGTTCTTCAACACATCACTTTCCTCAATAAACCCATTTGGGCTGAAAAGCGAGTCGATATGAACAGTCAAAGCCTTCCTCGTCACAAGAATCCCCGAATTCCGCGGCGACCGAATGCAAGCATGGACGATATCAAACTCAGTGAGGTTCGGGAACCGGGCGAAGACCCGACCGGAGTCCAAAAATCCCCAATCAAAGACCTTTACAGATTGCACCAAGCGGCCATGGAGGTACAGCCAGCGCTTGCAGACAAGGGAGTTGGGGAGGTACTGGGAAATTGGGAGCTTGGAGAAGATGGAGAGGAGAAGCTCATCGGATAAGAGGGAGGTGGAATCTGGTGCGGGAGGGTCTAGGGTAAGGGAATTGAACCCAGAAGAGAGGTCAGACTCAGAGTGAGGAGAAGGTGAAGCAGTTGAAGGAGAGAGAGAGCTGTGGTGGTGGTGGTGGCTCTGAAGCTGCATCTTCATGATAACATACTTGAGAGCTTGGTCTGGGAGGCTCAATGGCCTTGGCCTCTTCAGAACTTGTGACTTTGTTGGGCTTCCAGATTTTCTGTCTGGTGAATATGACATTTGTCAAAGCTCAAGAGAAAGCAAATAAAAGGGCAAAAGCAAATAATTAAATTTAAAAAAGCTCACTAATTAGGGTTAGGGTTTGCAAAAATCCAATCTTTTGTTAATCACAGTCTCTCTTTCTTTCTCTCTCTACATTCTGGAAAAAAGATCGGATTTTGGATAAATGAAGTGTATGTGAAATGTTAATGTAAGTGAGGAAGTAAAAACGATTCTGTTATCCAGTGCAGCGCCACCGACGGTTAACTAAAACTAGAGGTGAAATTCATCGACCAAAACGAAGTTTTGATGACGTGGAACGAGATCATTGGAGGATGTAGTCATAACGAGTGGGGTGGTTGGTAGAGGATCAGTTGTGATCTTGTTGTTGGTTTTGGGCTGGGAATGATCAACAAATTTGTTTTTGGCATCATAGATTTCGGAGGCGATAACGAGAGCATCATTCGATTCCGAAAGCAAATTAAAAGTTTGTCTCGTGTGAGGGGTAACAAAATTTGGCAGTGTTTGGAAAGTACAACTCAAAACTCCCAAGTCCTACGTTAAATAAAAACAAGTACACCTCAAATTACTTTTTTAGGATAAACATGCTCCCTTTTGCCCTTTATTTCCACATAATGATATAATAATTGCATTTTTCTTTTTTTCCCTTTTTGTGCTTTTTTTTTTGCAGGTGTAATCAAGAGGAGAGTAAAGTGAGCAATGAAACCTATATCATTGTTGTTGGATTGCATTTTAGGATTGATAATCGGATATGGAAAGGATCATCTAATTTTGGAACGCCAAATTTATGAGATATTATTACTCAAAAGAGTTGTGTTTTTGTTAGGTTTTGATTACAATTTCAATTGGTGATCGCTTGTGTTAATACAAGTTTTAGATAATCTAGTAAGTCTTTAAGTAAAAGATTCAACTGAGTTTATTGGACTCATCCATGAGTATTATTCAATCATTTGAATTAATCTAATTTATGATTTTTCAAGTATTGAATTACATATTATAACGTGAATCCCACATAACTTTTTGATCCTCTCTCTCTCTCTCTCATGCTATGCAAGTTTCCATATATGATGTGGAACTTAAGTCCTTACATATACATGATAGTATGATGTTATGAATAATTAGGGGGCGTTTAGTATCCTATTCAAATAGGGAACTCAAAAACTTTGATTTTTTTTAAAAACAAGGAGTTCTTAAATCTATTTTTAAGATTCAAAAACTTGTTTGGTATACAACTTGAAAACTGTTTTCAAATCTTAAAAATTTGTGAACTTGTGGGTTGTTAGAAAAAAACTGAAAAAAAAAAATATATTTTTTGTTTTTAATAGTTGGGGTGGTTTTTAGTTGTTTTTGAGTTTAAGTTTTTAAAAATAGGGTTACCAAACAGGTTTTCTTTCTTTTGGACTCAAATTCTGTTTTTGAGTTTAAAAAGTTGGATTCAAGTTGAATACCAAACAGGCCCTTAATGTTCGCATCATCAAAGTTGTTGACACATGATATAGTAATAATTATTTATTTCTGTAGTTAACAAGTAAAGATTACTATGTATCATCTACCACATTATTTGATAAACAAGTATGAATTCTTCAACAATAAAGGATTAATATCATTTAACTAATAAATTGGCAATTTGGAAGCCCTTCAAATACAACTTCCCATAAACTTGTCAAAACTACTTTTTATTTTTGGCTAGAGTAACTTTCAGTCAACGACCTTTAGGTGGGGGAAAAACTAAAAAATCAAATTAGATATATGAGAATGTTACAAGAACCCTAATTTGAGAATGTCATTGTTTGGACACTTTGCATCTCATCATGCCAACAGCTGACATTTTGTTAGTATGACTTGGAAATGTGAGTGATTATTATTTGATTGAAATTGGCCCTCGTGATATCCCAAAAGCTATATCTTCCCTCGTGATATCTGCCCAAAAGCAATATCTATCTCGTTAACAAACTGCCAATACAACACCTATTTCTAAAGCATCAAACGTCAACCTCTCTCTCTCTCTCTCTCTCTCCATGATCTTTACTTCCTCTTTTACTCTTTTCGGTTATGAAATACAAAACCACATCAACATGGATACCACAAAGCTTTCGGTAGAAGTGGATGCAAAGCCCATTATAAGCCCATCTACTTGTTATTATGTTCAGACCGTTGGCCCATTGGATATGGATTTTGGTGAGAGAAGAATGTGGTATTGTAGGAAGTGACCTAGGCTTCCAAACCTCACTTTAACTTTGTCGCCCTAGTGTCGTGCCTAAGGTGCTTGAAATTTGAACTTAAGACTTCCTCCAATATAGCAAGAGCTAAAATACTACGAGACTAAAAATGGATGGTTTCATATTTTTCTAACCAAGAAAATCGTCGGTTACCAACTGATTCGAACTGACCCGTTTGGAACATATTTCAACAGGAACATTTACCAAACGAGTTAAGTGTGCTCGTTTTCTCATTTAAGGATCAAATCTAATCCCTATATACAGTCATTGAATTGAGTCGATTTATTGGCATTTGAAGAAAAAAGCTTTGAACAAACTTTAATGAGACCCTGCCCTTTGTCTCTCTAGCCGTACAACAGTGACATTGCAACTTACAAAACAAAAGGGGCGGTCAAATCTTGGCGGAGGTTGGGGCCTTGAGTCTTCAAAGAAATTAAATAGAAGGCTGCTGCGTGGCGATGAGCTGTGGGTGAAGAAGAGAAGAAGGTGTCTACTATCCATTGTAATATAGCACTACATCACCCACGTACAAATCCTTACATCACTCACTCACTCACTCACTCACTCGCTCACTCACTACTAGGCAGCCCCTTGACCAAAAATTCCAGTTTCCCACGCGCAGTTTCCAATATAAACTATCTTAGTTGTTTGTTGTTTTTTTGTTAGGCTGAGAACTCTGCCTTCAATTCATTTCACACCACAATTCACCCCTTGATATATATCTCTCTCTCTCTCTCTCTCTACCACATAATCTGTTCCATGTTCAGTTTGTGATAGGAAGAGAGTTTCATTAATTTGCCTTTGTCTTTCTCTTGGTAATGGGAAACCTTCATGACCCACCCTCTCTCATAATTATTATTAGGTATAAGAAATTTCGAATACTTGCAAATTATACATATGGTATAAATCTATAAGTGGATGAATATAACTTTATATTTTACTTAACTCCTCACCATAGTGTTAGGAATACAACGAGATTGGGACTTTTGTAAGGACTTGTAGAATTCTTCACATATATACGATGGTATTATGATTATCGATCGACCGACAATTGAGGTGCAATGAACAGTCGACCGGCACACAAAAGAAGGCTTCTCTCCTTCTCTCTCTTTCTCATCCTACGGTGTTGCATCATTGAGCATATATGTATATGTAACTCTCTCTTTCTCATCCTACGGTGTTGCATCATTGAGCATATATGTATATGTAACATGTCTTAGATGGTAATTCTCCGTTGTACAAATCAAGCCAGAGACGTCCCCATCTTCCCATCATTTAATCTACACATTACAGACACCTATAATAAAATCAATGTATCATTGCTATGCAAACACACACCCACACATTGACACGTACGACCTCAAAGATTTTTGTTTTGAATGAACTCTTCTTATTTATTATTTATTTTTTTCTTTTTCTTTTTATTGCTGCAACAACTTTTCGGTATCTGTAATTTTCTCCTAATGTCAGATAGTATACATTAAAGCCTGTCAGACATTTCCTTAATTTCCATTGCTATTATTAGCCACCAGCACTGGGACATTAAAAAACGACCCGGCCTCTATCTTTTTCTCTCTCTCTCTCTCTCATTCAGCAACTTCTCATTGCCCCTTTTTCTCAATCTCAAACACTTTGGAGCCGGTCCTGTTTCACACAAATTAACACAAAATAATTGAAGAAGAAGAAGAAGAAGAAAGAAAGAAATATATTACCCTCTTCTCTCTCCCTGCTCTACACATTAACACAAGAAACTCAAATAAAGTGAAGTCTCTTGGTCTCAAAATGAACCAGTGTGTTCCCAGCTGGGATCTTGATGACATTTCTACTCCACCTGCTCCTAGGCTCTCTCTTCGCTCTTCCGCTCCATCTGATGATGTCCCCATGTATGAATCTCTCTCTCTCTCTCTCTATCTCTCTCTACTTGTTATATATGTACATGGTTTGGTTAATTAATTATCCAAGTGAAGCACTTAAATTATTTGTGTGTATATGCAGGTTGAACTATGAAGTAGCAGAGCTGACATGGGAAAACGGCCAGGTAGCCATGCACGGCTTAGGTCTGCCGCGCCTGCCGGCGAAGCCCTCATTAACCACTGCGAAGTACACCACCTGGGACAAGCCCCGGGCAAGTGGTACCCTCGAGTCAATAGTCAACCAAGCCACCTCTACTTTGCCCCCTCCCAGTAAACCCCCCTTCGATTCTTCCGGTGGCGGCGCTAAAGGGGAACTAGTAACCTGGTTTGATCACCATCGCGCTGCTGCTGTTCGTTCAACTACAGCAGTAGCTCCCTCCACCACTATGACTATGGACGCTTTGGTTCCGTGCAGAAACCAAAGCGATAACTCAAGTAGTCATATGATGGAGTCCATGTCCATGCCTGGTGTGATTTCAGGCTCGGACATGGTTGGGTGTTCCACTAGAGTGGAGTCCTGCAGTGGCGCTACAGGCGCCGCCACCCAGGATGACGACACCATGCCTTCAGGGAAACACGGGAGTTTGTCACGTGTCCCCGAAACACCAGAGTGGAGCAGCAGATCCCAGAGCGTGTGCGGTAGCGCGACGTTTGGGATGGATAGTCAGCCTGTCACACTTGACAGTACAAAGGCAAGCGACCATGACTCCGTTTGTCACAGTAAACCACAGGCAAACTCTCCCTACTTTTACTCTGCTAATTAATACAAACATTTTCAATGATTTTAAGAAATAAGTTAATGGATTTATTTGTTTGATGATTGTTTAGTTATTTTATTTACTTATTTGATTTTTTTTATTTATCATTACTTGTTGTTTTGTTATTTTTGAAGAGGGAGGCAGGCGATGAAGATAACAGAAAGAAACGAAGTACTGGAAAATCCTCAGTTTCTACAAAGAGGAGTAGGGCTGCTGCTATTCATAACCAATCTGAACGTGTATGTTATACATCTTCATTCAAACTATGTGGATTTTGCATCCAATTCCATCATACACCATGATCATCTTTTATTACGGAACATGACATGTTATTTTGTTGGACTGTGAAATAAAACCCTTGGTCCTACTTGTAATTTACAATTTAATACCACCTATTTAAAATTGTATTTTCTATGAGGAGAGAGATACATAACTCATAGAAGCGAATGATTGGGTAGTATAAAGTAGGTGATAGATAGCATCAAAACAGTACTAGGAAAGAACAGTATTTGACCTTCTTTGGAAAGAAATTATCATTTGGGGAGATGGGGGTTGTTTCGTAATATCGCAATTAATTTTTCTTAATAATCAAGCTCTCTATGTTTTTTTTCTTTCAGAAAAGGAGAGATAAGATCAACCAAAGGATGAAGACGCTGCAGAAACTGGTCCCAAATTCCAGTAAGGTATGATGTTCCACTTTTGGGTTTTGTGCACTATTTTTATGGTTTTAGTTCTATCGAATCATATTACGAACCAAAAAGAATCTCAAAATTATCGAATACTTATTCATATTTATAGTTTCATTGTAAGGAATGAAAGTCTTAATCTATTCTAATCGTAACTCATGTATGACGTAGGAACGTATAATTAATGAACTACTAATTTACCCACACCCACAACAAGAGAACGGTATACACCCACGACAAGAGTTGTATCGTTCCCGTCTTCCACATCTTTTGAATCAAAGAAAGAAGAGATACCAATTATCACTTAAGATTACAAACCATTTTTGTCTTCATTCATAGGGAGGATGCATGTTCAAGGCTAGTGACAAAAAAATAAGCCACTTTCAAGGTACTTTGGTTAGAGTTTGATTGATAAGCAGGCAGGGTTGCCAATTGCCATAAATGTGGTCCAAAAATTTAATTTTGCATTTACATGGTTGTGGTGTTTTTGGTGAATTCGATGATCCTAGTCCACATATCCATTTTGCAACCAGGTAAAATTGGCCAGCAGGTTGTTCGCTATGGGGACAACTACCTGGTTCCACATAAATCTTCCCAAGTGGTAGGCCCTATTGCTTCTGTATTGTGTTTGTCCCAAATAAGCAGTAACTTCATGTGTATATTACGCTATATAGTCTGTAACTTGTAGACCCAAGATGTGCAAAAATAGAGAACATAGGATAAAAGATCTGAAGTGCTTATAGTATCTACAGACTCATGTCAGTGCCTGTTCTACTAGTCTGTAACGGTCACTCACGATTTCTGACTGTAGGTCACTGTGAGATTTACATTTAATCAACGTTGGATTGACTTTGAAAAAAATCCGAAATTGAATGTGAAATGAATATTTTGTATTTTGTTGATGTAGGTTTTAGGAAAAGTTAATTGAGTGTATTATTTCAAGATAAAGTGAGCTACATTTAGAAACATGGGGGGCAACATTTGAGCTTGACATTTAACGTTTTATTTCAGACTGATAAAGCTTCAATGCTAGACGAAGTGATTGAGTATTTGAAAAATTTGCAAGCACAAATCCAAATGATGAGCAGGATGAACATGCCAGCCATGATGTTGCCAATGGCCATGCAACAGCAACTTCAAATGTCCATGATGGCCGCAGCCCCAAGAAACATGGGAATGGGAATGGGAATGGGAATGGACATGAACACTATGGGCCGCCCCAACATCCCGGTCATCTCCCCGGTTCTTCACCCGACCGCATTCATGCCCATGGCCTCATGGGATGGCTCCGGCGGGGATAGGTCTGCTTCAGCAACAGCAATGCCTGATCCTTTGTCCGCCTTCCTTGCATGCCAATCACAAGTATGTTTATGCCTATACTATATGGACAGTAATATTTGTTCATAAGTTACATTCTTGCATGTTATATTGGCAGACTTTGAATGAGCGTTCTTAATTACATTCTTTACTAAATGTGCACATTCTTTTCAGCCTATGACAATGGATGCATACGGCATGATGGCAGCCATGTATCAGCAATTCCATCAACCTCCAGCATCTAGTTCGAAGAGCTAAGCTTTAAATTCATGCTCCATATCTTGATTGATTTCAAGAAGGGCCAAGAATTGGTTTCAACCTGTGAAGTTTCAAATGCTTTGGTGCGACCGATAGATACTGTATATGATTGGTATTTAATGGGAACATTTAATGAAAATAATATTTTTGACTTCACGGAAATTCATTTGGCGGCTCAGTCTAAATTGGACTATTTCAATTCAATCAAACTTATATTTTAATCGTTATTTGATGAATTCATAAATGATGTGACTTGACTTATTAAATTGAATAATTATCCAACGTATTGTATCAATCAATTAACGTGCAAGTTCAGCAAGAAAAAAAGTATTATGAGGTGAAAGGATTAGAACATGAATAAAAACTGAGTTGAGAAGTTGGAGGAAAGAAATCATCAAATTTAAAACACACCTAAGTTTGATTGGGTTGGATTCTGATAGCTACAGATGGCCAACAAATAACATGCCATGCTTGCATAAAGATGAACATTTAAATGATTGGATGCTCATTTGTCAACTTTGATCAACATGTCACCTCCCATATTCGTCAAAAAGGGTTCGTCCTCTCATGTTATCATTATACTGTAGCTTGAATGACTCTGGCCAGTTTATTTGTGTAACTAAAATCTTATTAATAAAGTACCTTCATTTTTATTTATTTTTAGTTTGAAGTACCCTCATTTTTTATGGTGCTTAGGATGCCAAGCTCTAGTATCCAGGATTTAACCAATATATCAGTGTTTCAGAATATATAACTTTTCCTATTCATGAACTTCAAATTTGTGGTGATCAAATTTTCTTTGCTCATTATTATATTGTTTAGATAAATAGGCATTCTTATATTGTGTAAATAGTTATAGAAACATTGTTAGTTTTTAGTAAATGGCTCCCCTCGAACAAATTATACATAAATAACTTAAATATATTAGCTTTAACATGTAGTTTTTGAATACTTATGTATCTTTATATATCGGCTATTCTAACCTTACAATTCTAGCTTCGTTCCTACTCAAACGAGTGCTGAGATCAGTGCTGTAGCCATGGAGATTTTTGGGGAAAAAATAATCAAACTTATATATTTGCCTTATTTTAAATATAGCCCAGTATGTATTAACCTATCAGAGTTCAAAAAAATTTAATTCTTTATGAATTTAGTTGCATAACAGCAATAAAAAAAACACATTAAAATATGTACTTTTTCAATTCGGTTGTTGAACATATTTTCATTTTGATAATATGCGGTTTCCGGTTGTATTAATATGTATTTGTTTTATGTTAAAGCTTATTGGAAATTGCAAGGATTTTATAGCTCAAATAGTTAAAATCATTTACCCTTGACCTAGGTTGGATTTCTCCCTTGCCCAATATAACTTGTGTCTAGAGAAAAAAAATATATATTGGAAATGAGTCAATAGAGCTATGAACTAATGTGGTTTATATGATTTAATGTATATTTTTATTTGGCTAAAAGTCACTTTTGGTCCCTGTAGTTTGACACTTCAATCACTTTTGACCATGTAGTTTCAATTTCGTCAATTTTGACCATGTAGTTTTATATTTGTAGCAATTTAAGGACAAGTTAGTATTCTTGTCAATTTCTTTGACGATGCAAGGGGCAATTTCGTCAACCCAAAATCCTTGAGCATAAAAGCTCGTCTGAAACTCCCCTAATTTCATATTAGGGCTTGAAATTGGTCATTTGGGTTTAGGGTTCTTCAAAAATTGAGATTAGTAGTTGAATTTCGAGCCCTAATATGAAATGGGGAAAATTTCAAACAAACTTTTACTCTCAAGGGTTTTGGGTTGACGAAATTGCCCCTTGCATCGTTAAAGAAATTGACAAGAATACTAACATGCCCTTGAATTGCTACAAAAACAAAACTACAATGGCAAAATTGACGAAATTGAAACTACAAGGTCAAAAGTGGTTGAAGTGCCAAACTATAGGGACCAAAAGTGACTTTTGGCCTTTTTATTTCTAAAAGGACTACAGAAACTGCAAGTACATAAAAAAAATGATCATAGATTTTTAGCTAACAACATTAGCTAGCCCACCCGTTGAAAAATTCATGATTCTGTGCTTTACTGAGATAAGCATTTCTATGTTTAACCGTTGCATAATATCCCTTATCTTTCTATCTCTCTTCAGCCTCGTTTGGTTCATGGAATGAATTTGAGGGGAAATCATTTCTCATGTCATTTCCCAAATAATGGGAAATGGAATATTCATTTCTCACGTTTGGTAATGCTGGGAAAGTAACCGGAAGATATCACTTTATTTTCTTTCCCATGTTTGTTTTGAGTAGGAATGGAAAACAAAGTTTGTATAAATTTTCAATTATACCCATATTAAATCAAATAAAAAAAAAAGGAATGCATTTAATGATATATTGTAATTCTAAATTGTTAATGGGAACAAAATTGTCATGAAAAATGTTTATTTAATATTGGCTCATTTTCCCGAACTTTCCCATGAGAAGGGAAAACAAAACCCAAGTTGGGAGAATGGCTTCACTTTCCCCTCTACTTTCACATGGGCTAGGCAATGATTTCCCATGCCTGGACTTACCAAACATGGGAAAACAATTGATTTCCCATCCTCAAGTCTCCTTTCTCTTGAACCAAACGGAGCCTTCATGTGTGATAGGTAATGTGAACTTACAAAGATGTAAGACTAGATGTGACTGGCTAAAAAGGCCATACTTTCTATGCATAAAGGTGCATGGTATAAAGAAAGTATAGGATAGATAATTGAGCTTCAAGACTTCTTCTCTTTCTAATCAACCAAAGACAGGGGGCCTAAATTTCTATATATGCATGGGACCTCAGCAGACAAATCTTGCAAGACGGAGCCACCTTAGGGCCTGCCTTGGCCCTGGCCCCCCACAATGTTCCTATACATATTGGATTATATAGTTGCAGCTCATATTTTGAAGAATAATAGATTATATAACCATTGTAGTGGTCCTCTCCAATGCGATTACTGTTGGGAATGCGATTACTGTTGGGTGATTAGATGCAATTATATATCACATGTTTATAGTTCCACTTTACACAATTAATATAGAGTAAAGGAAGAAAAGTAACACTATATTAGCCGATTAATCCTCCAATAATACTCAAAATCAATGCTCTTTCTATAGTCTATTATTTATTATTGCAGGATTGAAATTTTCTTTTAAAAACTTGTGTTATGGTTTGGCCCCCCACATATACAATCCTAGTCCCGTCACCAAACACATGTTTATAGTCCCACTTTACACAATTAATATAGAGTAAAGAAAGGAAAGTAACGCCATATTGACTGATTAATTCTCCAATTATACTCAAAATCAACACCCTTTTTATAGTCTATTATTTATTGTAGTTGGATTGAATTTTTCTTTTGAAAACTTGTGTTATAGTTTGGCCCCCCACGCAAACAATCCTAGCTTCGTCCCTATGTAAGATGCATCAATGGAGTTTGGTGTTGATGTGAATGCGACGGCCGGCCACTTTGTGACCTTTTTTGAAATAATAGGAAACTTTAGAGAGGTGGTAGATGATTGGAGAGCAAAGAAAACGCTTGGACTAAGAGATCACCACATACCTTCTATTGAAAATCTTAGGGTTTCTTTTATACTTTTCATATTTTTTATTTTAGCTCGTAGCATCCTATTCGATCCTTTTAGTCATGTCGAATCAAAATGCATTACATGTCCTTTTTAATAAAGAAAAATGCAAACTGATTAGTTTTGGAGGTAACTTGGGATTGGATGTGAATGATTCAAACCCAACATGAATTTTAGGCTTTTTATCTCAAATGGTCCTTAAAGTTCATGAAAATATCACTTTTGGTCTTTTAGGTGTCAAGCTCAAAAGGTCAACAAAACAACACACTAAAGAAACAAAATTTAAATGCCTAATTGAGGTGAGTGACAAACGTTGAAATAAAGTATGAAAGAAAGAGTAGTCCATTTTTTTTCAGGGAGAAGCATGGCGATCTATTAAAAAGGAAGTAGTGACTTGATTGGTTTGAACTCCGCTTTCTTTCATCTTCCCTTCATCTTTCACAAAACTATGATTTAAGTTCTTTCTATTATTGTAAACTTATTTCTGGGTTATCTACAAATGCTAATAATGTATTTATATATGAATGTTAATTCACTTACAATTTTTATTTTTATTTCTATCAAAGGTTATTTGTTTTATTAATCCTTGAACTTGGACCTGATTTTCATTTCAGTCCCTCCATTTCCAAAATTGTTCCCGTGGTCCTTCAACTTTAGTTTCGTTATGACAAATGGTTATAACGTCAATTTTGTTAATTGTTTCTGTTAAATGCAAGGGTAAAATGATATTTTTGTATTATTTTTAATTTCCAATTTCTGAATTTTTTTTCACCCAAAAAATAAAATTAAAAAATCTTATTCTTATACTCAGTCAAACTAATTCCTAAAAATTTAAAAAAATCATTTTATCCCTACATTTAACAGAAAAGTTAACAAAATTGACAGCATGACCATTTGTCCTAACGAAATTGAAGTTGAAGAATCATGGGAACAATTTTGAAAATTGAGGAATTCAAATGCAAATCGGGTTTAAATTCAAGGACTAATAAGACGAATAACCTTTCTATCAAAGAACTTTCGTTTACTCAGATACGCATCATAATACGTCGTTGCATTAGCTTCGAGTCAATACCGTGTAACAACGGTTAGAATCAACCCAGAGGTATATGTGACCGACCTTTTAGCTTTAATTTTGTAAGGGAAAAAAAAAAATGTCAGCGTTCAACTTGCAATTTGCATGATTGATTTGTTGCTGTCACTTGTGGCTTTTTGCGACAAAGTCCATAAAGGCATTTGATGCGACTATTGGATGAGCACGCGTTGAATTAGACTTTTGCCGGCGAATCACATCTTGTCTGATATGACTCCCATAAAACCAAAGCCAGAGTTATTAATATTTTTATTTATTTTGTAAGCTAAGAAGAAAAAATAAATAAAAAAATCCTAAAATCCCTCAAATTTTCTAACTGCAATTAAAATGACCATAGAGCTAGAAAAACAAAAAGAATGAAGGAAACAAATATAACATAAATAAGAACAAAAAAAAAGGTGTCATGGACCACAATCATTGAATAGATTTCACATAGGAAAGATGCCTTTAGGTCTA